GTATTTTAACTATCCTTATTTAATTAAATTTCGGATTTCGATTTTATTATAATTAATTATTCAAATAAGATATGATATAGCTAAATCAAAAATTTTTTGTTAATTAAATTATTTTGCGAAATAATCAACTATAATAAAATTTAAATCTGAAATTGAACTAAATAGGAATAGTTAAAATGCTCAAGTTTATTTCAGAAACTGAAATTAATTTTTATTATATTCAATTATTTTTATAAAATATTAATCTATATTTTTTATTTCCATATTTATTTTCTAAATTCTATACATTTGATTAATTAAAATATTTTAATATTTCTCCAAAATATTTATCTTTTGATTTTATTTCTGCTACTTATTTCTTTCTTAATTTATTGATTGATTTTATATTGATAATTTCCATTAATTGTTTCTTGAAATTCTTATATTATATATGTTATTGTCTATTCTGAATAAATCTATGTTCTTCCGTTTTATAAAGATAATTTACTATAATAAATATTAAATTTAATTTCTGAAATAATCCTTAGTATTTTAACTATCCTTATTTAATTAAATTTCTGATTTTGATTTTATTATAATTAATTATTCAAATAAGATATGATATAAATTAAATCAAAATTTTTAGAAAATTAAATTATTTTGCGAAATAATCAACTATAATAAAATTGAAATCTGAAATTGAACTAAATAGGAATAGTTAAAATGCTCAATTTTTTGATGTCTAGATTATACCCATTTTTTACTGAAATAGTTAATGTTATTAAGCTCAAATCCGTTGTTATTTTTTTAAAAGACAACGTGAAAACAACATCCAAAACAACACAAAAGACAATATCTATATTTTAAAATTTATTAAAGATTGACGTATTACCAGACGAGTTTAGATATGGCCAAGCATATTGGGAAATTGAAAAAATACTGGATAAAGAATACGCTGAATTAGGGAATCCAAAACGTGTTTTAATACAATGGCGGGGTTTTGAGGCTTGTGAAGTAGAGTGGGAATCGTCTGGCGTGTTATTTGATTGTCCTGGTTTTATATACCACGAAGGTTACTACAACGGATTGTATGACACAATAGGACATGTGGGGGGATTAGTTTATAATCAAAAGGTGGCAAAAGTAATCAAAAATCTGGAAAAGGCTAATCCTGGTCTCAACATTAAAAAAATATTTCCAAAACTCACACAAAAGAAATAAAAAACAAATTTGATTTAAATTTGTCTCCAAGACATGAAGAAAATTTAAAATTTTTTGATAAACAAGTATAGATAATATTTCAAAAATATTATTTTTAATTTAATTGATAAAAATATTTAAACTTAGTTAATTTAACAACTCTCCAAATTTCAGAATTTTTAGTTTAAAATTAATAAAGTTATGATTTTTTACTTATCTCTTATTTTTAATTATCAAGCGAGGTTAGAGATCAGAGAGTAAATTGTTTTTCTCTCATTATTAAGCGGTATTTTTAGTCATCTATTTTATTATTCAACCGATTTAAACAAATAATATATCATTCTAAAGCTCTTGAAAAGTTGATTATTTTTAATAATTGAATCAAATTTATCTGAACATTATTTAAAAAGCTCAAAATATAACATCCGAATAGAGCAAAAATAATTTTTTAAAATAAAAAATTCGAATTTACTCAACATCGTCTTACAAGCCTCTTCCACTAAAAATTAAATAAAAATTAATTTAATTAATTTAAAAAACATACAATTTATATTCAAATTGAATATCTTTATTATAAACAGAAGAAGAAGCTTCATCATCAACATTTAATACATCACGCACTGCTAGAAGAAATATTTCTTTTGATGTATCACGATTAGGATCATTAAGCCTTCTAGCAAGTTTTTTAACATTTTGTTTATAACTAATTCTGTAAAATATTCAAATAAATTAGTAATTTTTTATATTAAATTAACCGTTTTTTAAATAATTTATTCAAAGCATCTTCAAATTGTTGATGAAAATGAGGAGCTTGAACCCAAATATCAACTTGAAGATAAGTAGTCTATACATTTAAGACAAAACAAGTTTTGTCTTAAAAGTCGCGTAAAATTACGATTTTTAAATAATTAATGTTTAACTTTTCAAAAACGTTTAAAACCAACAAGTTTGAGATTTACTGGTTCTATCTATGATACGGAAAAGATTATTTTGAATACATTTTCTAGGTTTAAAAATTTTTGGTATTGCATGTCAACGCTAAAGGTTTACGAGGGTTTTAAAAATAACAAGGATCAGCGTTGCTTAACTTGCCAAATCGGACGGGTTAGGACGTTTGCAACGTGGTATGATCGTTATTACGAATAAGTTTTAATTTTTATATAAATAGAAGATTTGTATTACACCAATTAAACAAAAATAATTTTTTTCCATAAAAGCAATAAAAAAATCACACGAAAGAAAAGAAATCATTTAGTAATTAATTTTTGAAAAATAAAAATATTAAATAAAATTTTTAAATAAAAAATTTTAAAATAATTAATTTTTGAAGAAAATATATTTAAAATAAAAATTTTAAATAAATAAAAATTTAACAATAAAATTCTTAAAAATAAAATTTCAAGAAAAAATATTTTAAATAAAAATAATTAAAGAAAATAAATTTTTAAATAATTAATATTCGAACAAAAAATTTTTAAACTTTATTTAAATAAAAATTATATGAAACTAATTTTTCTGTTATTCAATGTCTAGATAGTCTAAGCATTCCGGTAATAAGGATACCTAACAAAGGGAGTTCAATGTGCTAGAAGTAAAAATAATAGAAATGAAATAGAATAATAGAAAAAATCTAGAAATTAAAATACTAAAATAACCCAAAGGTCGGAGCTCTATATAAATCAATATACGCTTTTAAATCTATACAAAATGTTTAGTGCTCCATTCACTATGATAATTTCGGGTGCCACCGGGAGTGGCAAAACCCAATGGCTATTAAAATTTCTTGCACATACTGACCAGCTCATAGATCCTCCCCCATCAAAAATATTATATTGTTTTGGAGAAATGAACGAAACTGTTTTTAAGCTCAAGGAAATGGGAATAACTACTTATAATGGGGTTCCTGAATCTGAATTAATTAAAAAACATCAACTTTTAGTTTTAGATGACTTAATGCTTAATATTCAGAATGATTTTTTAGATTTACTTTTTACTCGAGGTTCACATAATTGGGGCGTAAGTGTCATTTTTGTAACTCAATCATTATACGGACGTGACATAAAGACTGCAAGAGCAAATGCACATTATATTGTTTTAACAAAAAACCCTCAAGGCCTTCTTCAAGTGCGAACGCTAGGTTCACAACTTTTCCCAAAAATGCTTAATTATTTTCTTGAAGCCTATCGAGATGCTACAGCTAATTGCTTTTCCTATTTATTAATAAACATGCATCCTAACACGGATGAAAATATGCGATTATCTACAAAAATTTTTCCCGGAGAAAATACTACTATATATTTACCTCTGTAATATATAAGTACTCGAAAAATTTTAAAAATAAAAATGCTTTCATATAACTATAGTCCATACGTCAAAGAAAATTTTGAGTTTCTCCAACAATTAGCAAAAACTACTTCAGAGAAAAAGAAAAACACTGATCCTTTCAGCAACTGCAGATCAAATCTTAGCAATTGTCGAAATTTGTGCTAATATTTTGAAGCACAATTTCATCCTAAGTAAGAGACAGCGTAGGAAATTAGCGCAATTTGCTGACTTCTATAGAGCCATCGCTCGAACGCGTACTGAAAAGGGTGCGAGAACTCGAATCCAACAAGGAGGTAGCGCTGCTCTAGCAGCAATTCTAGTACCCATTCTTGATGCATTAGCGGAACATATTATTCATAAATTTACTCAAGAATGAAACATACAAAGAAAATGATTATGGTGCCTGAGAGCGAATATCATACACTTCTGTCTATGATTAGAGGTGAAGACTTTTTACAAAGGGAGAAGGCACAGACGGATGCAGAAATTACAATGACATTGAATGATCCAAAAATTTCCGAAGATATAAAAGCAAAAAAATATAATTGGTTATATAAGAAACGTCGACAACTCAAACACGAGTTGGAAAATCGTCCTCAAAGGGTAATTATTGACGATGGTAAAACATTAGAAGTTGCACCTTACCTGCAAGAATCAATATCCCCTACGCACAAACCTAAAGTAATTAACGATGAGCAGGAAGAACCACGATCAAACATAGAACCTAATACTTTTTTAGAGGCATCAAGTTCTAGAAGCAAAATCTCTAGAAATAAATTTTCCACCCCATTTAAAGGGATTATTGCAAAGCGCTATTCTAATGAATTGGAAAATTATGTGAAAGATAATGCTGAAAAGTTTAGAATACGCAAGAACGGGAATTTTGAATCAAATGTCCCAGGAACAATTGTAAAGAACAGCAATTTCACAGATGTTCTCGAATATGTAAAGGGTGAAATATCTTCACCTCCTAAAGGTTTCAGTTTTCTCTTTAATCGCCTTTCTAAAGATCCATTAGTGAAAGAAATGATTAGAGAGACAAGGGGAGAAAGTACTACTGAAGAGAGTTCCGAAAATCAATCGGGTAGCGGGAAAAGAATAAAAAGAGTTCTAGTTAAAGTCCTGCCTATAAATTCACCAGGATTAGAAAGAAAGAAAGTTAAATTTACAAGATCAGTAAGACAAAAACATAGATTTATTCCAAAAATATGGGAAAAACTTTAGATACCTTCTTAGAAAAAATTTATTATTCCCTTAATTCTCCCGCTTCATATGCAGGAATAAATCGCGTCTATGAAGAGGCTCGTCGAAAATATCCTAAAATAAAATTTCAGGATGTTTATGATTTTCTGCATAAGCAAAGGGTGTATACAATGCATAGACCCTTAAGAAAAAAGTTTCCCAGATTAGCCACTAGACCAAGCGGCCTGCACACAGATTGGCAAGCGGATTTGGCCATATTTGATCAATTAACTGAACATAATGATGGGTATAGGTATCTTTTGGTTTGTATTGATGTACTAAGTAGAAAAATTTTTGCTGTTCCTGCCAAATCTAAAAGATCCGAAGATATGATAGACGCGTTCAAAAATATTTTTAAGTTTTCAGAAGGGATACTTCCGCATAAATTATATACGGATCGAGGGTTAGAATTTGAGGCAAAACGAATGAAAGAATATTTTAAAAAGAAGGATATAGATAAGCGTGTAGTCTATAGTCCCGATGTTCATGCTTCTATGGCTGAAAGGGCCAACCGTACAATTAAAGAGAGATTGTATAGATATTTTAGCGAACAAAATACGCTTCGTTGGAAGGAAGTTATTCAAAAAATAATTGCAGGAATAAATGCAAGTATTAATCGAACCACAGGGGTAACCCCAAATTCGGTTACATTTAAAAATGCTGGGAAACTATTCAATAGACTATATAAGGGCCCTGAATTTTCACAAAATACTAAATCAAGCTCAATACTGGAGCCAGAACAAATTGTTCGTATCTCAAAAGAAAAAGGTAAATTCGAAAAGGGATATTTACCCAACTACACCGACGAATTATTTCGCGTGCATATCAAAAACGACAATAGATCACCCATAACATATAAATTAAAAGATTTTGAAGGAAATTTAATTGAAGGAATATTTTATAGAGAAGAATTAGTGCCCACACAAGAAGATACTACTCATCGTATTGCAGAAATTTTGAAAACACGTACACGGGCAGGTCATAAACAACATTTTGTTCGTTGGATTGGATACAACGATAATTTTAATAGTTGGGTTAACGATAGTGATATTGTTCGAAGATAAATATGGACTCATTTTATGTAATATTGCCTTCAAATACAGGAGGCGTTGAAGGAAATACAACTTCAAAATTTACTGTTCGAATGCCTGACACGCTTGAATTGGATTCAAGTTGGACTGTTGCACTATCAAATATTATATATCCATTTTCCTTTTCATTACTTGGGGATTCTGAAGAACAAGAATCTATAACTGTTTTTCGAAGATATGGGAATGAACTTTATCCTATTCGTATCGAGATACCAGATTTGTCCTATGCCTCAGAAGAGGCATTGGAAGAGTCCATTAATGCAGTTTTGCTTGATACATGGAAAAAAGAATTGGATCGAGAGCGTGAGGAAACGAGGCTTGAAGAGAATAAAAAAAGAATTTATGGGAATTTTCGTAAAAGAAGAGATGCCGACTCAATACGAGATCAGTATGAAAAACATGGTTATTTCGATCTCAACTCCAATGAACTAAATAAATTTATCAAGCTATTATCTGAAGAGGATGATGCAATTAGTCCAAAACTTACGAATTTGAGTCCAGGTGAAGGAGATAGAAATATTCGTCTTTTGCCTCCAGCAAATCAAAAATCCATTTACTTAAAAGTTATTGATAAATTTATTCTTTCTCAGCAGGCTCAATTAGAACCTGAGGAACAGCTGGTAAAAAATGGCTATTTCGATATGACAAAACAGATTGCATTTAATTTTATGAAATTTTTAGGTAAAGAAGGAATTCGATTACCTCCTATAAGCCCTCTAGCTGTAGAAGGTATAGAAATGGTTAGATTCAATCCACATTTCGATCAAATAGAGAAGATCAAACAAGCCCTTGAAAAGTTTAAGAATCCTCCTTCAGTTGATCAAACTGAAGAGAATATTGAGAAAGAAGCCAATGAATTGGAATCTACTCCAGATGCTCCGGCTGTTGATCAGACTGAAGAGAAAGATGTTACACCTATTGATGAAGCACCTAATCCGGATATAAAACAGGAAGAGGAAAAATTGCCTTCTGATCATGAGGTTATTTTCTCTTTAGAAGATGCCATTCAACAATTGGAAAAAGAAGGTTACTTCGATATGCCAAAGGACCGTGCTTATAAGTTTATACAATATTTAAATAAAGAAGTTAAAGGTGCAAAACTTCCTGTTGTATCTTCGGTATTAGACAGCCTTGTTGTTCGATTAAAGCCGCAAACAGATCAGAAAATTATAATAATAAATGCAATTAAAAGTTTTATGTCCCCAGTAGAACCCGCGCCTATTCAACAACCAGATCATTTACCAACAAGTGAAAATGACAAAGAAAATCCTAAAGAAGATACGCCTGCTGGAAACAAAGAAAAATCACAGAGTTCTCCTTCCATTTCATCTACTGATGACATTCCAAAAGGGGAGACTCCCGTAACTACCCCTGTAACAGAAGCTCCTCTCAGTCCTGAAACTCTAAACGAATTGGAAAAAACAAATGATTCCCAACAAGAATCTAATAATGACAAAACTCCTTTAGATGGAAAAATAACACCCCTGTCACCTGTAGTAGAGATGCTGAAAGACCCTCTCTAACCGACGACCAAAAAACCTTATTGGATATGGCCGTTCGTGCAGCTACAAGGGCGTGGAGGAATAGTGTGGAATTGGCAGAGCAAGCCCAAATAAATATGCAACATGGTTACAAGTATTGGCAAAATGCTCGATTCAAGTATGCGCTTAAAGATAATGTGATAACATTAAAGGAGACAGGGGAAACGGTACAAGTAAGGAAAACACCAGAAAATATTCTTGGTTGGGTTAAAGCACAATTGACTTTGTTAACAAATCGTAAAATTGCAATACAAAAATGGACAGAGGAATGCTTAGAATATGGAAAAAGAGCCTCAGAAGCACAACTAGAAGCTAAAGCGGCGGAAGCACGCGGTAATGTTACCGATGCACGAAAGTCCGCAGATCGTGCTAAGGCCGCAGAACGCAAAGTAAAGGAAGCAGCCAGTCAAGTCGAAGAAGCTGTTGCGGGACAAAAACGTTTATCAGCAGAAATTATTGGTAAAGTTGACACGGAACTTGCCAAACAGGACAAAGAAACAAGTCCTAGATCTCCAACTATTAAAGATGAAAATGAAGAATTACCAGAAGAGAATATCGAGGAAAATATTGAGGAGCATGATAAAAATGAAGTTCCAGCAAACGAAGAGCAATGGACATCTCCATTACCCGAGGAAAATATTGAGGTAAATAACGAATATGAATCACAAGAATAAACAGAGGAAGAAGACTTGACTCCGAATGAATCAAAAACAATAACCGACGAGGATGAAGAGCAATGGACACCCCCATTACCAGATGAAGAAAATATTATTAAGAAACAGGAATTACCAACAATTATTGAAGAAGTTGATGAAGACGAGACTCCGAAAGAATCACAAACAATAACCGATGAGGACGAAGAACAATGGGAAGCTCCATTACCAGACGAAGAAAATATTGAAAAACCATTGATTAACGAAATGGACACTGAGGATGACGACCAAGAGAAGGCTCCGCCGCAATTTCAAACAATTAACGATAAGGAAGAGGAGCAATGGGCACCACCATTAGCAGAAGAAGATCCTGTAATTATTCCGCACTCAACCGCAAATTTACTTGAAAATATTGTGCAGCCTAAAGTAGATGAAATAATTCATACAGAGGAGCGGGTTTCTCTTCCACGTCCTGAAATGTTAATTGGAGAGCCTCCTCACCGTCCGTCCTCATGGAAAAGCTTCTTTGGACTTGGCGGTATATCTGACAAAACAAAAGAAAAAGAGCTTTCAGGGCATGACAAGAAGGAAAAAGAACCTCCCAAAGAAAAGTTAAAAATCAGAGTTGACGATTCGGATCCTAATGTAAAGAAAATGCATTTTGCTAAATATGCATATCCTCCCGAATATCTAAAAATGCTTCTTAACTTTTCCAATATACAACTAGCCGATCCAAAATATCAATGGGTTTCAGTACACTTTGATAAATTGCATAAGAGGTTCCATGTCTTCTTACAAGGAATATTAATCCAATTTTATTTTATAGTACAAAATTCCATAAAAATTCCTTAGGGGTACGTAAAAGATCAGAAATTCGTGCTTATTTTCAAATTTCATGTCTAAAATTCATGCTAATTTTTTTAACAAAATTAAGAGTGCAAGCTGTACAAAGTTCATATATAAACTTAAAATTAATAGGCAATTACATAAAATATTCAAAAATGAAAAATTTTAATAATTCAAATTTTTTTGCTCTCTAAATAGTATACAGACTGGTCAAATTTATTTTATGTAATGTTTAACAACTTTTTGTTTAAATATATTTATATACCACAGCTAGGTAGCTCATTTCATAGCCTGTCAAACTCATTATATACTAAATTTTAATGTATTTTCAAACGGACTATTTTTTTACACACAAAATCTTTATTTTTTTCCATATTAATTTTATAAGAGAATTGTGAACCATCAGAATAACAACTTACCCTTTTTTGGTTTCATAATTTACACCATAAAATGTTGTTATCTCCGTATTAAGGTGATACAGAATTTTCTCTCTTAAAATTCCCAATCAAATTTAACTTTGGTGATCTCTCTGTGTTTTTAAAAAAGACGAAATTATTATTAAAAATTTTATGTTGATTTTCTACTAAAGCTCTCATGTATCTTTCAATGTGCTTTTACTTTGAATTCCTAGTCAGCTTTTTCTTAATATAAGGGTTTGGAAATAATATGAAACAGATTTTGTAATCTCATTAAGAAATATTCAAAATGATAGAGTTGTTTCGGCAAATACTTAAAAAATTCTTATAAATACTTCATTAATAATTGGTTTTAATAACCTTGATTTAAATAGGTTGGAAACCCATTCTAATATAAGAAAAATTTCCTTTGTATGTTTGAAAATATTGAAATAAATTCCAGAATTAGGAATAGGATGAAACCTTATAAGGATTACTGATTTCTAAAATTCCTGACTAGCAGATACGATTCAATTCATTTAATATTTAGACTAATCTGCCTTTAGGGGACTTATTAAAATATTCTGACTTAATTCTGTTCCATTTATATTATTCAAAACAAATAATGCTCTTTTGTGATATTTGTACTAATTTTTGTCGCCTTTCTCTGAATATGTTATTGCGAATAAACTTTCTAATTTTTAACAAAGTAATAGCGTTCAAATGTCCATTAATCCTTTATAATTATATTCTAAAATATTTAATAATATCCGTTATAATTATATTCTCTCTTTCTGAATTAATAAATATATTTACATCCATTCATATCGTTCTAAATCTAATTAAAAAAAAACTGAAACTTATCTTTAAAAATATCCAAAAGTCATTTCTTCGGGAAACTTTCAAGTTTATGATAGTAACTCAATTAAAACAAAGATCTACAACTTATATTTATAAAACAGTCCTCAAATAAAATAAAAATAGAATTATACTAAGTAAATTTTAAGAAAAAATCTTTATTTCAGATCGATGCGTATTCAATCTTTTTGAACTTTTTTTGCTCTGATTTGAATTTGTGCCAGTTATTGTTTTCTTCATAGAGCTTCGGCGATAAAAATAGATTTATATGCCTCAATCATATTCCTTGCAATAACATCTTAAATCGATCAGAGACTAGGATGCTGTCATGACTCTAAATGCTTTTGACGATAATAAATCGAGTCCACAACTAATTGCATTCAATGGCGAAACAGCTTTATCCATTGGTCAATGCCACATCGCCTCATGTTAAACTTGAAGCAAAAAAAAGAAGATGAAATATTTGGT